CCTGGGCCTTAGTGAACTAAGAGCTGTCTTCTCTTCAGGTCCAGACCTCGAGTCCTGCTCTTCTGAATCTTCAAGAAGCCAAACGAACCAAGCCCCTCCCACAAACGACCAGCCATCCAACCAGGGCGCAGTGTGGGGGCGAGAAGAGGAAGGGGGCAGTGAGGAGAGTGATGAACCTCTGGTGCAGTCAGACGAGGAGGACATTCAGCCGGACATGTCTCTGGTTGGCCTGCAGGATGTTTGTGCAGCAAAGGGCTCTGATGACAGTGACTCTGTAGGAGACCTGCCCTCTGGGTAACCTAGCAACCAGACTCTCGACACTCCTCGAATACTGGAACACTAACTAAGGCTACCCCCCCTCAGAAATCCCCTTCTGTCCTCTGCTCTGGCTGGACGCGGCGCTCACTCTCTCAGCTCCAGCTTCACTGCTCCTCTCCTCTGAGGTCTGAGGTGGGATCTGATCTGTGCAGACAGGAAAACAGGCTTTAACACAAACACTGATGTTCACATGGTGGGACACTGCTGGTGTGAGAAAGTGTGGTCAGAGTCAGTGATGCTAACTCACTGAGAGCCACGCTTTACTCATATAAAACCGATAAATCAATGACAAAATAAAGACAAATCAATAATAAACAATAAACACAGTGAGTTCTTCAGTCGGGATGTGATAGTTACCACAGAGTCTGAGGTTGTTTCAGTTCACGAGCTGCTGTAACTTCACATCTTTTTAGGGGTTAATTGATCTGTAATAAATTCATTATATAGGAAGTTATCTTATTTAATTAGAGACTGTTAAACTCCTCAGACTTAGATTTATTGTAGCTTGTATTTCCCTTCATGCCGCTAATGAGCAAACAGCAGCTAATGTCTGTTATAATACTGCTCTAGTGACGGAGCCCATACTATCGATGCAGCAGCTAGTGATGCAGATGCAGAACTGTTGTAGTGATCAGCCTCAAACTGAACACGGCACCAACTGCTGTTCGGTTCTGCTTTAAATCTCTATAAGAACTATGGAGCAGCCAGTTCCCTTTATTGCTCTTCTCCAAACTGTCAGCCATCTCTTCTTAAAGGATGAAGCTGGTGATTTTCTGTTTTTCTTATTGTCAACAAATCCCATGAAAACCAACAATGAACAGATCCTATTCACAAGTTGTGTCTGTTTATGTAAAGCTGGATACGTCTCACTCTTGAGAGGAGGACGTACAAGAGCTGATTTTAGTTTGAGTGACAGATCTTTAAGTCTTAAGGCTCTTCAGGTGCCAAAACACAGCTCTGCTGACACAGGACTTTATCACTCTGGAACATTACCATGGTGATAGTCATGTTTTCTTCTATTGTGACGATTGACAGGTGAACAGCAGAGTACCTCGTTCACCTTATAATTTGCCACAGATTGTGTAGGCAAGTCAAAGTAATGAAAGATGGAAAAAAGCATTGTTGGTTTTAGTCTTAAAATTGAACTTGTTGACAATAAGAAAAATAGGAAATAACACCAGACTTCTCCTTTAACACTTGGGTTAACTGTGTTTTGTTTGAATTTGATGATCAGTGCAAAGCCTTTGTCTGACAATCAGATAAATAATCTGTTTTTATATCCTCACTGTGAAATAAAAACATCAGTCTGTATATCATCTCTGCATCTTGTCAGGTTTATTGAAGAATGTTTTAACAACCAAAGTGCACAGTGTCTGCAGACCTGTGCTGCAAGCTGATTGGTTGCTCCAGCTCCTGTCAGGACAACAGACCAAGCTGAGTGAAGCCCCACCAATGCTTGTATACATGAAGCCTGGAGAAAAAGTTGCATAGCAGTTGCAGTTGCATATTAATTATCACAAAGAGATGTAATATTTGGTGGTTATACACAGGTAGTGTAAGTGAGAAACTGTTGTATGTTTGTGTAGTTTTGATTAACTAAATATTGTAAAGCTGCAGCTCAGTGATGAGGAATTGTATTTATTTTTTGATTTATAAATATTATATTTTATATTATATATATTATATATATATTATATATATTATTTATACTTTATTCTGCCCATTTAGCAGTCCATGGCCCAATCCCAATGTCCCCGCTAAAAAGCCTAAATCCTGAACCCTCACAGATTAACAGATGTCACCTGGTGAGTGATTGAGTGTGAGAGGCTGTCAGGGCTCAAACTGATATAAAGAGGAAAGTGTGTAACTTTACTTTGTTTCATACAGTTGTGGGTTTAGGACTTTTGATTTTACATTTTTTATTTCCTTCCTTCGCCCCCTGTTTGTAAATAAAACACTAACGTTGGATCAGATCAGATGAAAGCAGACTTAATCATCATATCATCATAAGACAAATAACTACACACAGTTCTGGCCTTGAATCACCAGTAACCTCTGTGTTTATACTGACATGTAAACTTCTTTTTTCTTGTAACGTTAATGTTAGGGTTTGTTTCTTTCATGCTTGTTTGTAAACCGTTTTTTTCTTTTACCATGTACTTTTTTCCATTTTATGGCGGTTGCTAAACGTTTTTATACGCTTCACGGCGTCACCTGGTAACTACGGCAGTGTGCTTAATGTCACAACGCTATGAACTTTAGGCAGTGTCCTCAGGAAAAGTCTGCAGATATGCGGACTTGCGGGCATGGGTGTATTATAAGAGATAACAATCAGTCACGAACATTCATGTTTACAGGACTGGCCCCACTGTTACAGTCCAGCAAGAAGGAAAACGATTTGTATACTCCCCGTCGGGGAATCGAACCCCGGTCTTCCGCGTGACAGGCGGAGATACTGTCCACTATACTAACGAGGAGAGACAGAAAACCGTACGCGAAGACTACAATATAATATTATCACGTGATCAGAAGAATTTTGAATTGGTTTCTTCTCCTGCAGTGATTAAATTAACTGAGTACATTTGTTCAGTGTTTGAAGATATGAAGGAGTGAAAGAAACAACATATTATCTAAATACACCAATGTGGATTTGTAGTTATCGTTTTCCAACGCAGCACTTTTTACTACAGTTGTAACAAAGCTTAGTCACTTCAGAGTTTTCGCTGTTTCACATTCATAAAACACTGGTACATGATGTACACATAGATGTTAACAAAAAAACCATCATCAGTCCATTGATTCGGTGGACTTGGTCACATGACTATTTCTACCACCTCCTCGTTAGTATAGTGGACAGTATCTCCGCCTGTCACGCGGAAGACCGGGGTTCGATTCCCCGACGGGGAGTACATGAAAAATTTTCTTTCTTGCTGGACTGTAATAGTGGGGCCAGTCTTATGAATACATGTCTGTGACTGACTGTTATTTATTTAGGCCCGAATGTCTCCAGCACTAAGCTGTGGCACGCGGATTCCTCCAAAACGTGTATTTTGACGTCTGCGACAAGACGTCTTAACACTTCAATTACGTCTAAAGACAATATTAATGCCAACACGCTAATTTTGAACGTCTTAAGGCGTTTAAATATTTAAATGTCTCTAGGGTTTCCCCTCAGAAATTGATGAAGTGGTACCACCCAACACTAATATAAAATGCCAACATAACATTCCAACATTGACAGTGTTGGCATTTCATAAGATGTTTAAATTTGTTGGTATATTGTCTTTAGACGTAATTGAAGTGTTGGGTGCTACCACTTCATCCATTTCTGAGGGGAAACCCTAAAGACCTTATCATCCCTGTTCAACCTATGAATTGAGGTAAGGAATATTAACATTATTAATGTCTGAATTTGTTTTTACAGGCAACAACTTATTGAGAAAAGTGTAACTTCAATAACATTGACATTATTTAATGTGGCGTGTTCGTCTAAACGCACACTAGATGGCAGTATTAGAACACAAATGGCAACCTGTTAAATTTTGAGCATAGGAGGAAAGAAAGAATTACTGAACCAAAATTCTTTCTTTCCTCCTCCTCTAAAAGCTTAGTGCTGGAGTCGTTTGGGCCTACATAGTTAACCGTCAGTCACGGATATATATTCATAAGACTGGCCCGGCTGTTACAGTGCAGCAAGAGAGAAAAGTTTTCTTATACTCCCCGTCGGGGAATCGAACCCCGGTCTTCCGCGTGACAGGCGGAGATACTGTCCACTATACTAACGAGGAGGTGATGTAAATAGTCATGTGACCAAATCCATTGAGTCAATGGACAGTGTTTTATGAATGTGAAACAGCGAAAACTCTGAAGTGACTAAGCTTTGTTACAACTGTAGTAAAAAGTGCTGCGTTGGAAAATGATAACTACAAATCCACATTGGTGTATGCCGATAACATGTTTTTTTTTCACTCCTTCATATCTTCAAACACTGAACAAATGTACTCAGTTACTTTAATCACTGCAGGAGAAGAAACCAATTCAATATTCTTTTAATTATGATAATCATATGTCCTGAGCTGAGCTGGTACATGTGTTCACACCATTTTTTCCACCTCTCCTCGTTAGTATAGTGGACAGTATCTCCGCCTGTCACGCGGAAGACCGGGGTTCGATTCCCCGACGGGGAGTATACAAATCGTTTTCCCTCTTGCTGGACTGTAACAGCCGGGCCAGTCCTGTAAACATGAATGTTCGTGACTGCACGGGGTTGCCGTTTAACAACCGCCATTAAATAGAAAAAAGTATATGGTAGAAGAAAAAACGGTTAACAAACAAACATGAAAGAAAGAAACCCTAACATTAACGTTACAAGGAAAAAGAAAGTTCATATGTCAGTATAAAAACAGAGCTCACGTTTCAAATAAATAAACATCGGCTTTAATACACTCGTTAAAGTGGAAATGAAGCAGTCAATCAAGTTAACGTGATTTACTAAATGGATTTCCACTCTAATCAACAATTATATAACAAATATGACAAATGTAAACATATAAGAGAAAATATAAGATCCGTTACTACATCTTTCGTAGCAAGAGTGGCGCCATCTTGCAGTTATATAACCTGTGACGTCACGGGGTTGGTTGGCTTGGCGGTTGAGGCAGTGAAATAGTTGAAGATAGTGAAAGGATGGAGACTGAGGAGCCACAGTACAGGAGAAGACAAAAGGGAAGCCACTATTGTATCGCTCCTGGATGTAAAAAAAAATATTTACTCTACTGACCGGCCTACATACTCTGGCAACAGCGGTGCAGAGGCATCAGTCCTCCGTAGGGAAAGGGCGCTAAACCGCGCTAGCCAGGCAGGGAAGAGACAGGTAGCAACCCACATAAGTCGGCAGGTACTGGTATCTGTTTGAGATGAACATCATCATTGACTGCAATAAAGTTCCACAAAGTCTCTGTGAGAGTCTCTCTAGCTCTCACTGAACACTTCTTTCACTCCAAACAGCAGCACTCATGAACACCTGATGTCCCCTCACCCTGACACACAGTCCGACGCACGTCACCTAGCCTAAAGATTTCCATAGCATCTCTGCAGCATCAACTGATGAGAGCTGGGCTGTACAATATAGCAGCCCAAATGACTGTCAGAAATTAAAACCACAACCATTAAAAATACTCGGGCCTGAAAGTATTCACCTAAAACTCACGTCATTCCACACCATACATGGTACATGCCTCAGCAAGAGGTCACAGCTGATACAAACTTCCTAAGAAATATTTCTTACGTAACTCCGTTTCCAATAGTCGGTAACTTCAGACACTCCAGACATTATACTCCAAACGTTATAATCCACAGACGTTATCCAAAGTTCCGTTATCTTCCTCACCATTATCTTGTTTCTTCTTGCAATGCGTGCAATAAAGTTTTTTTGCTAGCTTTTCCTTCACATGGCCCTACTGCCGAAAAGCCGTCACACATGTGTAGTGGCAAATTTAAAAAAAAATATCGTACCCACCACGAACCAACATAAACGCACAATAATTAACTTTTGGAGCAATTCTTACTTTTTTCAACCTAAAGTGTCTGACCGTCCACCCAGGAAACCGCTGGAGACCTGACTTTTTTTTTTTTTTTTTTAACCACAACGGAATTGGCTCACAACAAAATAAGTATTTTTGACCGATGTCCGCTCTGCCTGCTCGCTACTGCACTGGTTTTATTCATGACCAACCATAACAATAATAAATCAGCAATATGAACCAATAATAGCGACAGTAGGCAGAATAATATATTTATGCATAAGGAAATGTTTCGCCTTTTACTGAAATTTACGTATTTTAGATACTATGCAAATTGTACTGGAGCCCTCTTTTGGTCCTGGACTGCAATAACGCCACTTCATGACAGATGACTATAAAAACTAGTTCTAGTAACTATGTACCTATGGATGGGTTAGGGTTAGACAGAGAGATAGATAACGTTATTAATCCCTCCATTTCCAGTTTAACTCGGTTCAGAAATGCTTCACTGTCTTCACTGGCAACCCACCCACCGTTACGTAGCAATGACGTCACACCAAAATGGCTGCTCGCTAGTCATATTTGTGGTTTTCACAATTTTTAATATCAGATTTTAGGCAAGGTGGTTTTTCTAATAAATTTCCTCACTACCAGTGCCAAAAACATGCATGTTTCATTTCCGCTTTAATAGACTCCTAAAGACTTGGTACTCTCACCTTGACTCCTCTCTCACGCTCTGATCCTCTCCTCCACCGGCACCTTCCACTTGTGGCTGAGAATTAGTAACTAACTCACTATTACTTTCAGTCCTGACAAATTAACCGTATCCCGTCGAATTAACTTTTTTTTTCTTCCCCATATTAGAAAAGCTGATGGTGTCTGCACTCTGCACTATTTCACCTGTGCTCGCGATTCTCCTCCTTGCAAACTCTGTTTTTTTGCAGAAATGTCTCAAATCACAGATTTTTTTAAAAACAAACAAAAAAACATACACGACGGGATGTATCGTTAATTTTGGGACTTTTCAAGAAGCTGGGTGTGCTGGGATGTAAAAGAGATAATATTCATCTGTAGGGTTGCCACCTTTTATGTGAAAAAAGGAGGCAACTGGTTTGGTTTTACTCGACATTACATTATTCACAGCACTTTGAGGACATAACACGAACGAAAATACGGGACAAATTGTGTCCCGTATTGATTCAAATCCACCGAGTACCGAGGAAACAAGTACTAGAATTTTGTCTGGAGGCAGAGGCGGCACAACATTTTTGACGGCGGCTATGCAGGAAAAACTCTGATAGCCCATATAACATAATAAAGTGCTGCATGAAGTAATATTAATTAATAATATAACAAACTCAAAAAATTTTGTACCACTTAATATACAACACAAATTAATCTGTTAAACTTATAATTGAAACAACCCAAATGTGTAAAATAACTAAGGTTACATAAACAACGATGAGTATATTTTAATGCATTTAAATAGGCATTCAAATACACAACCAGGTAGACAACAAGTGCATTCTGCAATAGTAGTGATTATATACAACAGTTACAGCCAAAGTCAGAAAGACTGAATTGGCCTATCAGGTTCAGTTTCAGTAAATGATTCCAGACTGATGGGGCGTGATATCTGAAGACTGTCCTACCACTACTGATGTTTATAGAGTCATCCAGTCCTGAGAACATGTGTTAAAAGTAGAACGTCTGGGTCACAGGAGTGATGATTAATGAGGTGGTAATTTATGGAGTGCTTTGTAAATTAATTAAAATATATCATCAACCCATAAATCAATACATCTATAGACTTTTAATTAGATTAGAAAAACTGCATGAGGTTTTGCATCTTAATTTAAGTCTGCTCAGTAACAGGTCACCACAGCATCAAATTTAAAGGAACAACAAAAGTACTAAGTAACATTAATAATCCAATTAATTAATAATTAATAATCCAGCTCGGAATAATGAATCATAACGTAATCAATGTTCCAGTTTCTTCCATCTTCACATGGTTGTCGCTCATTAAACAACATGTCTGTCCGTGATGGATGCTGCTTCCTGCTCTGCCCCACAACCACGCTGTTGTCAGTCACTGCTCAGTTACGAGCATCTCAGTCCGTTGTTTGAATTTTTAAATAAAATAAATGATGTAAACACTCATCAATCACAGAAACAACACAGTCATGCTGCTGAAACACCTTTAATGATCATTACAAATACTTGATTAGCACAGACTGACATGGACTATACAGGTTACTGAATGAACTGTGTCTGTGTGAGGGAAAGGAAACAGGAAGTTACTATGATCCTCCACAGTTACAACAGAGAAGAAAAAACTGGTGATTCTGTGATGAATACAATAAAATAATATAATTTCATTTAGAAAGATACTAAGTTACATGACAGAATTACAACTGTTTCATACTCTAGTCAGTTGCGGTGTACTACGCACACCCAGCTAAACCATACAACAGTCGTGCACTGTATGAAACATTACACAGGGAAGAGTTTCTGCTCTCTAGTCTGATATAAATGTGTGGACAATGTGCTCAGTCCAGTTCAACAGTGACGGACTGCTCCAAACAGAGAAATCAGACTGCATTATTATCTATAAGAATAAACTATCTAACCGAATAAACTGAGGGCTTGGTGACTGCTTTTTTGTGACATCACAAAGTTACAGAATGCTTTGATACTTTCACAGTATTAATATAGAACCTAGACCTGCTTTATAATCAAACACATGGACAGAGACCTTCAGACTGTATGGGACCTTTAATTAGGAGACAAGCTTTGAAATAAGATTTAAGATAAGATTTGACAAGTGAACATTTAGTACCTGAATAACAACAAACACAACAAACATAACATATCTGGATATGTTCTCCCTGAAAAACAGATTTAATGAAAAGAAGATATATGAAGACGTCTATGTGGTTCTATCCTCTTCCATGATGAATGAGGATGAATGGTATTTTGCTGACACAAGCCCTCACTCCCTTCACCGCTCCACATTTCTGGTGCCAGGGACAGGGTTTGTTCCTGCAGGTCACCAGCCCTCCATGACAGAGGCAGAAGTGCTGGCAGCCAGGGTCAGCGTAGAACATCTGTCTAGGCGCATAGTACTGACCGTTGTAGTTGCAGCCGCACGCACCCAGCGGCTCGCAGCGATCCTGGGCGGGAAGAGGTATCAGTCAGGACAAGCTCACATTGTCATAGTGCAGGAATTACTCTGATTGACAAAATTCACTGAAGCATTTACATGAGCACTGAATTAAATGTTGGAATAAAGAGTCCTCCAATCCTCCCATCCTCCAATCAGAAACAAGCCAAGTTAGACGCCTTTTTATTGGCTTTATAAAATTGGTTTATTTGCATTATTTCTGAAGATATTCAGAATTCTGGTCTTCAAATCCAGGGTGTCAATAACTTTGACCTGTACATGTCAAATGAAATCTCTACATGAAAGAATTATTTAAATGAGAGGAGAAAGTAGAAGCAAGAATGAAGCTGCATGTCAGCTGAGGAAGAGGATTACCTGATTCAACAGGTAACCATTGTTACACACGCAGCCCTCACTGGGTGGAATTTTACACTGAGCAGGTGAAGACAGAGAGTTGCAGCTGACCGGACAACCAGGAGCTGCGACACTGTACGCACTGTTGGCTGGACACTGCATCCCTGAAACACAGAGAGAGAGAGAGAGAGAGAGAGAGAGAGAGAGAGAGAGAGAGAGAGAGAATATTAGATTACACAGAAATACAACACTACAATTGTCCACAAAGTCAGTGATCAGCTGTTTGGAGGACAGGATGGGAGCATGGTCTGAACTTCTCCTACTGTCCTTTTTCCATCTTTACTTAACAACAGTTTCTCAGTGCAGACAATGAGTGCAACAGAGACATTATCGCAATATTTAACCTTTCATCGCGTCTCCACCTTCTCTATACAGAGTCCAGTCTCCCGTACTTGGGAGTTTGAATTTCACAAGTTGAACTCAGAGGTCCGGACTCCTGAGGACAGGAGGACTATTTGCAGATGGAACAGCAGCGTTCTTCCTAATATTAGCAGCTGTACTGTGACAAATTCATCTCAACTCAAATCTCCACCAAGAGACAGAAAAACAGAATTAACAGAGTGGAGTAAAATATACACTTCATATCCAATCTGTAATATATATTAAAAATCTATTGACATTGACTATGAAGACCACTGCCTCTGTTCATTTTCATTTATATATATTGGTATATTTGTACACAGAGTTCACAGAGGCAGCGCTGTTGTTGAACTGTCAAACCAAATCATGTTTTTATTCAGCTTCATCTTCTCAGACGAACCAGCAGCAACACGTATTATATTCCAAACAGGCGTCATTTGGAAAAGCTGACACAGATTCAAAGTCTTAATGGAAAAAACATCAAAACTTAATGAAGTGATATAATAACAGTCCAAGGGGGAAAACTGTTTCTGCTCTAAGTCTGGCTCAGAATCTCTGCCGCTGTCACAGTTTGGTGCGAAATGCATTCTGGGATACTTAGCTGTCCCGAGTCCACACAAGTCACACGCAGCGATGCATCCTCGATTAAACGGGCGGAGTGAGAACACTTCCTGATATTTGATCTGTACTTGGGGAGATGCGGACTTTGAACCGGAGCAGAACTCTGGTTGAGACCGATGAAGTTTTACAAGAACACGAGAAACACAACGATGAAACAGTGAAGAACGCAGACTGAGAAACAGCTTATGACTGTCAGCGTATCACCCCGCTTTCGACTGTGGCTGAACGCGGCCACACACTTTTTCTACAAACTGACTATTTTCTTTAGTATTTAGAAATGGAGCAAGTTGCTGTTTTTAAATTCATATGCAGCACACAGCTCTGGGAGTGGCCTCCATTGTCTCCACTACAACATGTGGTTGATTAGCTGAATCCGTTGTTCTTAATTAATGAAGACTATCTTTATGCCTCATCTCATTCACAATTCTCTTCTCTCTCCACTTTATGGGTGTTATCATTCAACCGATTGTTTTCCTCTTCTGCAATAAATGTTTTAGTTCAAGTCTCTTTGAGTCTCTCCGGATTGAAATAAATTCAGTTTAGTGATCGTTCCCACTGACCATCTCTTCACAGAGACGGGGGTCACCATCTCTCCCCATATATGATCCCCTTTTGATACATTACTGAACTTCCACACTTAGGTCTCTCAATGAAAACTAAACCATCCCCGTGACAACTGAGCAAACTCCATGGACAGAGGAAGGCCATGAGAGGTTGCTGAAAGCTTCCACTTTGAATGTGTTTCTGTTGGACGGCTGACTGCGGCATTAAACCTCATCAGTCCAAGAACAATCACACGGTCTTAACTTACAGCAGAACTTCTTCGTTCTCCATGGCTTCACGTCGCCGTCTCTTCTCTGACACTCCTCCACGTAGTCACTGATGATGTCACAGGCTGATTCCTGTTTACCGTCATTGAGCACCATGTCGTAGATGCAGTCCTTATGGTACTGCTTGGAATCCACTCGGCCCACACAGTCACCCAGGGGCCCGTCCTTCGCCGTTATGACATCGCAGGCTGATGTGTAGCTGGGCGGTTTGAAGTCAGGGGGGAGGGGCTGAGCACAGTCTTTACCTGGCAGCAGGAAACCATCAACAACATTATCAAAATCATATATACACATATTACATAGACACGTCTGAGGATAATAACAAACCACTGCTAAAACAAAACAACCGAGATGTGCTAATTGAATGTGTGTGAACAACATATCTGTACATGCGAATTGACCTACTTATGAACTTGCTGGTTTAAATGCAAATTTCAGGTTCAATAACATTTTAACAAATCTGAATTACTCCACATCTCTTATTGAACCTAATTTCAAAATTTGTCAGTTGCCTTAGAAATGACTGAAACATCGTCTGATATTTAATCTGCAGTCGGTGTCATTTCAACCAGTGACCAGCTATGAATATAAGAAGCCTGCTCATGTTTACATTGCTCTTTCCTAATGATAAAAATAATCTGATAATTGCAATGAAGGTTTTCGTTAATATGCACTGCAGGTCATTTTTGGAGCCTCAGTTTGTTCAGATTATTCTGTGAGATCAATAAATCAGGTGTGAATATACCTGCCGTTTTGAATATTTCTGGCACAGGCTTGACATAGATGGCCGAGGTGGAGATGCTCTGTTTTGAAAGTTTCTTAGTGAGGTTGTGTCTGACTTGTTTCATCTTCATGAAGCACTGAATCTGAAAACATGCTTTCACTTGTTGTTATGGATCATTAGGTGTTGATTGATGAGCAGAAATGTCACATGTATCTATTTAAAATCAAAGCTACGACACAATGAAGTGAAGCCTCTGTATCAGCCCTTCTACACTGTGTGTCCACAGACATCATCATTAACCTTCTCTTACTCTATATTCTAAATCCACCAGGAGAAAAACTTGTTCCAGTCTAAAGACGAGACCTGGGGCTGGTTTCACAAAGATATTTCAAACAGGTCTGTAGTGTTGGTCCAGCCTTAACTTTGCTCATAGATCAGTCTCATGTTAGTCAGACTGTTTCACAAAAATAAAGACTGAGTCATTTTAAGACAAAAACATTAGACACCTTTTTGCTATTGTTTCACTCTTCAAGTAAAACGTCCTTGTAACTGCGGGGGTAAACAGAGCTCAGTGGATGAATGCAGTTCCTCGTTCGGCCATATTTTGAAAAAAATCTTAATTTACCCAGAATTCACTGTACCACAGCCCGACTTAAGACAGTCAAGAACTAAACTGCTTTGTGCAACAGAAGAATTTAGACGTCTATCTGAAATCTGACTATTTGTTATTTCTAAGCCACAGTCAAAGTCTATCTTTGTGAAACAGGCCCAGGTCTGAAGACAAGACCTGGGCCTGTCACCTCAGTACAGGTCTTTTCAATGTCTTCATGGTAACTGGGTGAGAAGAGAGGCCTCACTGCTTTATAGAGCTTCCCTTTCCAGAAGACCTGTGCACCTCCAGGACCTGTGCACCTCCAGGTTGCTGAGGCGAGCAGGAAAGATTGTGGCGGACCCCTCCCACCCTGGACACAGACTCTGTGAGTCACTCCCCAGAACCCCAATGTCACCATTTGTACTATGTTTATATTTTTTATATTCTAATTGTGAATATTTTATTGAAAACATCTTTTTATATTTAAGTGATCTGACTGCAGTACTTGCTTTGCTTTATCTTTCTCTATATTTTTTCTTCTTACTACGTTTTTCAATTTTAACCAAAGCCAATTCCCCGTAAGTGAAAACCTGATTCTGAACATCGCTGTTGTGACGTTCGTGTGAAGTGACTCGCCTGCTGATGTAGACCTGAGACTGACATCACATGTATGTAACAGGAGCACGTGTGAGAGGGAGTAATGACAGTGAAGATAAATAACTGCATCAGCTTCTCACACTCATGGCTGCAGCCCTCCACGTTGGCCACCCACTGACTGACTCCAAACTCGTTGGCGTTGGTCGCCAGTTTCCCACCGGGCAGCGTCAGATCATCAGCCGGGTCGCTGTTGAAGTTCCCACAGAGGCCACAGGTCACATCGTGGTAAGTAGTCGCCAGCTCCACCCTCACTGCGCTCGCAAAGTCAAAGGAGACCTTTAACAGAGTGGGATATAAAGGAGAAGTCAGACACATGTGCAAGAGCTGAGACAGCAACACAGTCAATGACTCTTCTGCCATGTGTTTAGCAAAGCTTAGCAGGGGGACATTAGCCTGGCTGTGGCTTGAGATGTTCTTGGTGTTTAAAGACATGTCACAAGGTTCAATTTTAGTGACGTTTTCTGTCAAAAATAAAGCAGAAATTCATTTATAATGAAAAGAAATCCAACATTGGAGTAACCAGCAGGTCAGCGACGCCGGCCGCCACGCACACGCCCGCAGGCAGTGTGTTCCCGGCCTAAGACTGAGGATGAGTTCAGGTCATGTGATTTTAACTGTTAGAGGTGTATCTGACTCCATGTTTGGAGCAGCTGCAGGAACCTGATTGGTCCAGAGGAGGCAGATCTGAAAACACTTTTCAAAATAAATAGAAAGACTGAGAAAAAAAAAACAGGTCCAGGTCTGAGAAGGAATGTAGTTTTCTGTAAGAGTGGTATAATGACTACAGTGACTGCACATGTGCGGTTGTGTGTGTTCATACCTTAAGGAAGTGTGTCTCTATGACAGCCTGTCTGTGTCTGCGATAAACATTGACCAGTGACTGATTGTATGAGACCGGCAAAGAGTTTTCAAGCCCGTTCACCTGTGGAAAACACACACACACACACACACACACACACACACACACACACACACACACACACACCACACACACACACACACACAGTCATTGCGGTTGCATGGATAAAACAGGGCTCTTAGTGTTAATGATGAACTGTTGAGGTTGATACGAGGATTCACTGCAGACATGTGCAGTACATTCAGTCTGAGTGAAAAGGGTTAGAGTTAGAGCAGCACGGTGTGTCCACTTTGATAAAGGCAACCTGAGTGAGTCTCATCAAGGGAAGTTGTCCTTATATGGGATATGATGTCATGCGATCAGGCGTACACCTCTCCACCCCGAGGAGCTGGTGTGGACTCACTGACAGTCACTATGTGGGCCTCTAATATTATACTGAGAAAATTATAGACTCACTGTTGTAAAACTACATGTTACAATAATATAATGTTATAGCCATTAAATATGACAACTCATAAAAATATCATGAGTAAGTTCAGGAATATTTTAGAAACATGATATTGATATTAAAGTTGTAATCTGTAACTTTTCCATATTAAAATGTCTAAAAACAACTAGACCTGTGTTCTATATGTTGTTGAGTTGTGTTCTTACATTATCACAAATGTTTCCTTCAATTCTCAAACCAGAGAAATCTGTGATTTTAATCATGGTAACGTTTCATTGGTCGCCTGTCAGTGACATCATATCCTCTATGATCATGTGTCAGTGTGTTTTTCTGACAGAAGCTCAACACTGACTTTTATCCAGTTTTAAGCCACATACACTTTTTCCACCTTGGTGGTTTTCAGCTCTATATTTGAACCAGATGAAGGATTTTTAAGTTATCAGAGAAACAAGCTGAGGAAATGTTAGACAGCTCAGCTCCAACTCTTCCCTGAGTCTCTGTCCTCCGTACAGCGTCGCTCAAACACTGACTTTAAATGTGAAGCTGCTTTAGTCAGTGTTTTTAATGGTTAAAATCACTGAAACACTGACACTGAAGGAATCCAACACAGGAGGAGCTTAAGACAACAACTCCCATGATCCCACGCTATTTCCTGACGTCACCTTCGTCTTTTGTTACTGTTTTGATTGAGAGCCCCCTGGAGGCAGAGGTTTCAGAATGTGTGTTTAAGCGAGTGAACCCTGTATGCTCCAGGTCAGTGTTTGGATATGACAGGAAATGGTGCAGGACTTAAAATGATAAAGTGTTTAAACTCTGCTCCTGATGATTTGTGTTGAATCAGTGACATCAGACATGATGGTGCAGTAACAGTCTTTGTGACATCAACCTCCTCATTCCTCATCTGAAACATTCAGTCATTATGTATGCGTGTACACATGTTGATAATAATAGATGAGGCAGACACACTTGAGGTGTGTGCAGAGCTCAGAGGCATGTTCAGGACTGTTAGTAGACGGATTGATGGTGGATGGCTCAGTCTTCTCAACCCCACAGTTTGTGTGTGTGTGTGTGTGTGTGTGTGTGTGTGTGTGTCTCACCAGTACTCTGCCTGGGTAGTCCACTGACAGTGTGTATGTGACGCCGTAGACTTTGACAGTCACCACTTTAGCATATGACACTCTCTTGTTGCCACGGTTGTTGTTCTCCAGGTTGACCTTTGAGAGGAGGAGAGAGAGGGGACGAGAGCAATGGACAGGGGCGGGGTGAGGATGAAAGGTGACAAATACAGTAGATCATTTAATTAGGATCCAGTCTTTGTTGTTTGTGCAGGTACAGGACAAGATCCTCCTTCGCTCTGTTCTTCTTCCACTCGTGTATCAGTGGAGGAGAGTAAATACCAATTAGACCTGGTAAACATGCTCCAGTTTTACTGAAGTAACAGAACAAAACTATCATCACAACATGAACTTAAAGTATCTATAACAAAACGAAGAATCATTATAATGACGGTTCACAGGAATCAGGAGGAAGTAGTGTCTGTACAGTGGACATGTGTCTGTCTGGAGAACTTCCTGACACTTTACTGTTCAGTGTTGTTCTCACCTCAAAGTGGTTCCGCCCTTTAGTGTCTCCACACACACCGGCCAGCTTGTAAACACAGTTGCCCTGGAAGTCGAACTTGCGTCCGTCGAAGGTGGTGAAGTGTGGATCTCCGCGCGCAGAGCAGGTCTTGAAGCTGATTGGGTAACAGTCTCTGACTCCGTCCACGATGCTGCACGCCTCTCCGGTTTGACACTTGGTCTGCTCACATCGCACCTTTTGTGTCGCTGCCACGCACACACACCTCTGCTCGCACTGTGAGTCGGCCCAGAACTCCTCACCTGGCAGGTAGTAATGGCCGTCGTGGTCACAGCCACAGCTCTTCTCCTTGTTAACACACCTGAAGAAACACAGCAAAATAAGCTGAATAATATGAATAATAAGTTCTCTCAGTCATTGGGACGTGTGATGTGACAGCTGTTGTTGAGATGTTTCTCTCCTTCATGCTGAAACAAGATGAAACATTTTACAGCTTAAGATCTGGGGAGCCTTTATTAAACATCTTAGGAAGGAGAGGTGTCAGCCTGTAAACTATATGAGACTGTGCCGAGCTTTGATCTGCCAGGATTTCACCCATGGACCTTCCTCGGCCTCACTGGGTCTTGGTTTCATGGACTCTTTTTGTTGACCCTCAATCAGTCACCCAGCACACAGACTGTATATATATATATATATATATGCTATATAGATGTATATACTATATATATATATAGAAGTGGTCCCTGTGGTAATAGGAGCATTACATTGCGTATAACCCTCAAACTCCCAGGCATCTGGTTGAGGACTCAAGCTTGAGGAAGACATGCACCACCCCCATGTGGGGGTGAGAGGGAGATTTACATAATACATACTGTATATACACACATAAACAACAATTATTTTACAGTTGGATATTTTAAATGTTGAATTTTGTGTTAAGTGATAAACTTCTGCCTTGACAATACAAACTGAGTCAACAGTGCAACATCATGTTTCATGGCCACATTAAACTGCTGGGTTCCTGTGGATCCTGTTAGTTTTGCAGTTTGGTTCACTAGTAAGTGATAAGTAATAGCACAATAAAAACTGAAATAATGAAGGACTTGCAATTCAGTTTTGACACAATGACCCTCGACAAGAAACAACCTCAGGATCAGGTAATGGAGCACGAGCAGAGTTCCCACAGGATTAGCTTGTATAGGTGCCTAGCTAACTGGGGGGTGGGGGTGAAACACACTGCATGATCCTTATTTAGGCCTTCATCATGTTAGCTCATATGTATATCAAAACACTAAAATGTGGGGTCCCTGCTTCAGTCATGTGAGCACAGTGACAACCAAACATCATTTTTTAGTATAACTCTATAGTTCACCTGCTTCTATGGAGACAGTTTCATGTCGCTGTATGCAGCATGGAAAGAAAACTGAACCAAAAGACATTTGTCATATGAATAACAGAGCCTTAAATACATGGGTCAAACTGCTGCTGTACTGACTCGTTTCCACTGCGCACGTATCCGGAGTCACAGACACAGCCCTCCACACAGGCCTTATGGCACACCTCTGGCTGCGGGCCACAGCTGGCTGGACAGGCGGAGCCACACACCTGGTAGTGGCTGTGGGCGGGACACTCAACAGCTGGGGGCAGAAACAAGAGTGAGGAGGAGGTGAGAGCAGAGAGAGAGGAGGGGAGGAGATGTTATGTTCAGGACGTGTCTGCTGTACAGAACTTCTTTCTGAGAGTAGATAAGATGCAGCTGGGGCTGAAGTTTTTAATACCCTCTCAATTGTAAGTGACACAGTAAGAGCTTCTAAGTTTTCTCTGCTGCTGAATGTGGTTTCTTCAGGGTGAATGTTGCTTCCCAAGAGCTTCAGCCATCGTGCCACTTAGCTAGAGGCCTGGAGCACCTCCATAGTGTTGTCTGGATGTGCAGCGTTTTTTTCTCTTGTATTTGTTTTTGGATGTTCATGTGTTTTTGTTTTTGCATTGTTTCTGTGTTTGCAGCGTGTTTCCTGTTCATGTATTTGTTTTGGCTTCCTGCAGCACGTTTCTGTTGTTGTTTGTATGTTTTTTAGAATCTGCATCGTTTCTCCTAATGGAAGTGTTTTGGGCCGTTGGGCTGGACATAGTATAAAGCTGCAACATGTGAAAACAGTGAAGACGTTCTGAGTGCTCCGTAAATTCACAGAATTAATTAGTCTAAAAATATCTGAAACCAGCTTCAAACCAGAGATTTAGAAAAGGATGCTTGATGTCAGAGCTCTGTCAGATTCACATAAGTGCAGTGTTTGAGTATATAAATCTACTGTATGTAACTCACGACAGTTGGCCTTTTCTCTCCATGGCAACATGGACACTCCAGCTTCCTGGCACTCTACCAGGTAACTGCTCAGGGCATCACACAACATTTCGTGGCGTCCTTCGTGGATGCAGACATCATACAGACAGTCTGACACAAACTGTGCTACCGGCACATGAGCGTGACAGCCAGCGAACGGCCCCTTCTTATCACTCAGGATCCCACAGAAGTCTGGACCAGTGAACCTGCAGAGGTACGGAGGAGAACAGAGGCACATGTCTGAGGTTTAATGCCAGCTTGTGTGTGTTAACTGGGCATCAGTTTTTTTTTCTAACACTCTGAAAACTCTCGGCCGGTTTGTCCACCACGTTTGTCCAGAATAAAAAAATCTCACCAACTACAGGAAAGTTTGTACAGACATTCATGATCCTCTGAGACCACCAGTCACCAGGTCTCAGGTTTGGATTTCAGACTGAGGATGAATAACCACAAACTTTTTTATAAAGCAATTTGGTTCATATTAGGGCTGCACCATATGTGTTTCCCTGTGTCTTTCCTGCTCTCCCCTGTGTCTCCTTGTTGGAAAAATTGTGATACTTTATGATTAACATAACCATCTTAAAGGGAGACTGTATCATCCTGAATAGAACTTTTCCATTATTCTGTCTACTTTTAAAACAGGAGTTGTCAGAGAGGAGCGCAGTGACCTTCGCTGTTCCTCCTAGCCACTACACCCAAACATTAGCTATGAGAAGGCATGAATCGAGTCTCTATTGTGTCTGTCTCATTTCAGCAACAATGTAAGGTCACTCTCACATATTCTGTGTATAAATTCTGTGTGAATCTGTGTGAATTTGCATTGCAAGCTCTTGAGTGTAACTTGTTCCCTTGCTGCAAGAATAAATATCCTAATCTTATAATTTTCAGACGGTGTTCCTGAGTTTATTTGATAATTTACTTAACACTCCTCCTCCCCTGTTTGTCTCTGTGTGTCTGTGTGTGTGTGTTGTCCTGTCGTTGCTACACACCTGACGGAAAAAATCCACTCATCATCAACTATTCAAGTACTCCGCCTCACCCTTCTCTCCTGGCACAAGCGCACCTACGCTAAGCTCTGTCTGACTCAAACTGCCGATCTGACAGTAACATGAAGTGCACGCCGTAGTAGGAATACCGTAGTTAGACGGTTCACAAACTGTAGTTCCAAAGTAAAGGGCTGTTTGACGGCAGGTTAAGTGGCAAAAATATTCAAGATGAAGCGACACTTAAACTCACATTACCTTTTTTTATTTTTCTACATTTTAACATTTGGCTAAAACAGGTTTTTCCCCTGGTGACCGAGTCCACAGCAGCTCATCACTCAGCTCCTGTCAGCGCTTACCTGAACAGAGACTATAGAGAAGTACCTCGCACAACCACGCAAAAATAACCTGACCTATCACTGTAAGTCAAAATTTCATATTATATTTCGCCACACACTCGTCCTTCAAAAAACACACATCATATAATCCCCTAAATTCTGTTCAAGTTTATAATCAGCTAAAAGTAACAGTGGCATCAATAAAAAAAAAAAAAAAAATCATTACCTTTTACGGTTCTCATCAGAGCACTGAGGACACACCCCCTCACAGTGGTGGTAACAGAACGGGTCGCCGTCAGCCACGCTCCACGTCCCCGCCCATGCCGTCACATTAACAGCTGTGCTGCCTCCGGCGGCCGTCAGCTCATCCTCTGTGTTGCCGTTGTAGTTTCCGCAGAGCCCGGCGACGTTACCATAGTAACTGCTGCTGATGGACACCATGACGAGTGTGGACCAATCAAAAGTGACCTCAACGCCAAAATCAGTCTCGAGTGTTCCCCTGATTCCGGACTGTGTTATGGAGATGCTGCCTCCTTCAAGAACAAGGGGGAGTTGTGTCCTGATGCCGTCCAGCTGCAGAGACGGGAGATGCTTTGATTTAGTGCTGATTTCACCCACAAAAGAAGAACTTGAACAAAGTTTGGAAATGCAATGGAATATATTTTCCTGAAATGTCAATAAAGCTCATAAAAAATAAGGTGTGCCCAATTTACAAGGCTTGTTATGGATGTTATTTCAATGTGTCAGATCCAGATTGGATCAACACTTCAGCTGGAGCACAGGAGCCTCTCAGCTCCAGGTAAACCTCTGTGACAGAGCCCTGTGATAGACCGGTGACCTGTCCAGGGTGAACCTGCCTGTGGGACAGACTGTAACCCAGGCAGACTGCACAGGACAAGTTGGTTAACAAAAGGATAAATGGATGTTTACCATGTAGTATATATATATTTTTAATTTTCACTTCCATATATGATAAAATTGCACTTGCTTTACATATCGTTTGATTGTCCGACCGCTTGTGCAGCTGCACTTCATTCTAACAATATGACCGTGTCACTCGATCTCAGCAATGACAGCAACGACGGCTGAAACAACAGGACTGAAGATAAAAAAAAATATTTCATCTGAAATTGTGTCAGTGAAGAAGACTGAATCAGTGCAGTGAGACCCACCAACACGATGCCTCTGTCGTTACTGGGGACGGTTATACGATGGTCCAACATCTCCATGGTGACTGAACGTACAAAGGAGCCGTCAGAGTTTCCGCGCAGCTCATTCTTGGTGGTCACGGTTACCCCTGACAGGGATTCGTCAACACCTGAGCGGGGCACAGCGATTCATGTTACCGTCAGAAAAACAATGTGTGTCTGCTCTCTGACAGCTTTCACAGTTTTATATCGAACAAACAGTGTGAGTTTCCTACGTCCTGTCAGAGATACACGTTCAACTCATCCTCTGACTCGGCCTACAGATAGAGATCTCTCTGTTAGGTGATAGCAAACCTGTGGTGTTCACCAGGACGTAGGTGCAGGTTCCCTGGAATGAGTAGCTCCACCCATCAAACGTGGTGTAGTGAGGGTCACCAAAAACCCAGCACAAGGCCCTAGAGTTAGGCACACACTTTCCTTCGTCTCCTGACACCTCACAGTGCTCCTTTACCCTGCACTTGACCTCAGCACAGGGGTCTGGAACACACACACACACACACACACACACACACACACACGGATATCAGTTGATGATGTCAGGTGAGATGTCAGACCAGTGAAGGTCAGATCTTCAGCTGCTGTTCAGTTGCTCTATAAAGTAACAACAAAGAGTATTCAGTGTTTCCCACACATTTATTTATCTGTGTCGACATGATGACGTCAACATCGACCGCCACATATTGATTTTCTATGCTTTGACTAATTCAAAAGATTAAAATCTAACTTCATTGTAGAGCTGTGCGTTGACTCACTCAGGGTGAGGGCTTGTCTACAGGACACTGTCACGCGCTGAAGTCAAGCTAGCGTCCGGAGAATATACCGGCACAAGAGGGCAGTAACTTACATGATGGATGCAAACAGGCATCAGATCCTTTATGGGAGGGAACGCTCTAATCAGACGCTCACATGTAGTAATCTGTGTCAAACACCGTTGTTGTTCGATCACAGGAAATCGAGACCATGTGACCATGTTTGTCGTCCACCTGTCGGCTGCTTTGCTCACTTGGCTTCAAAGACTTCAAGACTCCACCCACTTTTCACCTGTCTCTGTGACAAACTGATGACACACTGTCACCTCCAGCTCTCTCTCCTTTCCTTTCCTGAGACATGAAGCTCCGGGTGCTGCTTGCACCTGGTTTGGGGGCAGGACTGAACTAAACCAAATAAACCATTAGTTTTATTAGGACCTTATCAATAAAATACTCAATTAATGATGACAAGATAATAAGCCTCTAAACAAATCCCCTATCAGTCATAGTCCTAACCAACCCCACCCCCCAATACAGCGCCCCTGAGAATGACCCCCATCAGCTACCCGCACTGACAGAATCTAAATCTGTGGGAAACACTGAATCCCTGCAGCAGCGCTGCTTCCTGGGTAATATAAACACACATGCAAACACACACACTTCTGACAAGGTAAGACAACACTGAGCGATTCACTTTTCTTGTAGCAGCCAATTGTTCCGTCCCTGTTGCGACACTCCTCCCCCTCCTGGCAGCTGGTGGACTTGCAGCTGAACTGTCCGGCCTGGCAGACACAACGCTCTGAGCAGTCGTCCGGCAACACCGAGGCACCCGACTGAAAATAGTCATTTATGCATTAGAACACACAGATTTCTTTTTTCATTATTTACTGTGATATTTACATATTCCATTTGCACATGACATCAATGCCCCTGATTCAGATCTGATGTGAGTTCGTATAACATCGATGACTCTCCACTGTCTAAATTTCAACATGCATTGCAATGGTGAGCTGGAAATTTCTTAACGTTTATGCAACTTTTAAATGACCATGAAATTCAGTAATGATGCAGCACAGCTGATGGACAGTCTTTCATTATTTCATGATCACATATACATAAATTTTATCTGAAATATTCCTTTAAATCACCTCAGTTTCTTTCACCGACGCCTCTGCTACTGTTGGTCCAGACCAACAACTCACAACCAGACTAGACATTAGTAAACTATCATGTACTTAATAAGCATTATGATGAAGAAGGTGGTAATGATGATGATGATGATGATGATGATGATGATGACAAGTACCTTATAATACTGTCCCTCCACTACGCAGCCACATTTCTCCACGGGGACACAGCGAACTCCATCAAACATGAGGCCTTCGTCACACTGGCAGCCCTCCTGACAGACCGGGCAGGGCCCCGACTGCTCCAGAGAGAAACAGGTGGAGGAGCAGGAGGAGGAGCACAGCTCATAGTGACTTCCTGATGGACAGGTCACAGCTGCAGGGACAAAACGAGAGACTCAGCAATGAGCGGGTTTGTTGGGATCATGACGATTTCTGATTTTCGACAATTCGCAAGTTGCTGGTTTTAATTTGACCCATTGTTGCCACGGTGTTGTGTCAGTATGGTGTAACTGCAGCACTAAACAGGACCCACAATCTGGACCGATAAAATAGTGTTGTTGTTTCTAATTTTTTCTGATTTGTTCCTGTGTTTTCTAAAATGTTGTGTTTTTGTTGTCGTTGTGTCCAGTTTGCTAAAGTGTTCGGTGCAGTGTTGCTGTGCTTTGCCTCTCAGGGCCACTGCACTAAACTGTGTGGGAGGATTAACACATCCAAACAACAGCGAGTCACGTCAGACTTACGACAGAAGTCGTCCCTCCTCCATTTGCTGATCTTGGCTCCAGCCAGTTGACAGGCGGTGACATAATTCTGGATGTGACGACACAGGATGTGTTTGCCTCCTTTGTCCGTGGACATCTCTCTGTAAACAAACTGTCATTTCATTAAAGGAAACACAGAAACCTAATCTCTATCAGAAACAATAACACAGCTCCAACCAACACAAACTAACTGCTGTGATCTGGGAGTAAAACTGAATAACATCTGATGGGACGAAAATCAAAGTAATCACATGATCAGAGTCAACAGTTCATCTAGATTATGATCAAGTAAAAGTGAAATAATCCATATATATATATATATATATACACCTATTAAATCCCAATAATAAGTATATATATATGTATCTATATGTATATAAGTATGTATGTATGTATGCATGTATATATATATATATATATATATATATATATA